CCCCCCCNCCCCCCCCCCCCCACTGCGCATGCCTCTGCGGGCTTCCATCGCCACCCCGCGGCTAGCACAGAGCACCCGCCTCGGCGCCATGGCCTCGTCCTCGTCCTCGTCCTCGCCGCCCGCGCCCGCGGCGGCCCCGTGGCGCGCCGACTTCCTGGAGCACACGTCCCGGATGCCGCAGGCGTCCTTTGTCCTGAGCACGGTGCGCCGCAACGGCGGCGGCCGGGACGCGCCCTCGCCCCGCGCCAGGACGTGCATGCTGCGCGGCCTGTGGGCGGGGCTGCCGGCCGACGACCGAAACCCGGCGCCCCGCAACCGGCCCGTTTACGAGAGCGACTGCCCCGTCTTCACGACGGACGCGCGCATGGACAAGGTGGCGGACCTCGGGGCGGGGTCCGGGTCGGGGCCGGGGTCGGGGCCCGTCGAGGCCGTCTGGTGGGCCGAGGCGACGCAGACGCAGTGGCGCGTCCGCGGCGAGGCCTGGCTACTCGGCGGCGGCGGCGGCGGCCCTAGCGGGATCGGCATCCCGGCCGCGGCTAGGGCGGCCATCGGGGCGCGGATGAGGAGGAGGGACGGGAACGCCGCGGCCGCCGAAAAGGAGACGGAGGAGCAGCAGTGGCAGTGGAGCTGGGAAACCGAGGTCACGGCGCACTTTGGGAACCTGAGCCCGGCCATGCGCGGCACGTTCCGCAACCCGGCGCCCGGGGCCCCGCGGCAGCAGGCGCCGGGAGCCGGCGAGGGCCTGGGACAGCGGGTCGATGACGTCGAGGACGAGCTAGCGCGCCGCAACTTTCTAGTCTGCGTCATCGTGCCGACCGAGGTCGACCGCGTGCTGCTGGCCCCCGACGACCCGCGCCGCTGGCTCTACCGTTTCAGGGCCGAGGACGGCACCTGGGAGACGGTCGAGCTGTGGCCGTAGCCTATCCCTCTGGGAATGTCTTCTAGTTTAATCTGAGAGCAGTACGGACAAAAAGGTTGCATTGCTCTAGACCCACAAAGGGCATATCTTCCCTGGCTAAGCGCAGCTCGTGAAGACGAGCTATCAATCACAAGTGATATCAGCGCTGACTGGCCTCAGGCCAAGCGAGTGTGCCGCCGTGAAATACACACGACGGCAGCATTGAAGGGAAGGAGTTGGAGAGAGGCACCTGGTGTCTGATGTCTAACTGCAAATTGCCATAATTTGCCGCCGGTGCCGTTGGGTGGGACGATGCCATCGCACGGCTGGGAGCGAGCCTCAGCCACTTGTGTTTATCTACTACCATGGTAGGTGGAACACGACGGGCTTGGCTGTCATCAGAGACTGGCGGTCCCACGGCAAGAATATCGGATGATTGCGGCGCCGCCATGTTTTGCTGCTCTGTGGGGCTATTCTATCGTTATTGGGCTCGTCAACCCTCACTCCTCAGGCGAAGAGCCCCGACAAGCGGCTGGCTGGCTGCCCTTGGTGGCGCTCGCTAGTTGGGACTTTGCAGGCGACATCGCAACCAAGCAATCTAGGCAATGGGACGACGTTGCCTTGCCTCTCCGTCCGTTTTTTTTTTTTTTCCGGGCTAGGGAAGGCTAGACGAGTCGGTCAGGGAGGTTGCTGTGCTGTGCTGGCTCGGCTGGGCTGGGCTGCAGGATGCATGCAACATGCAGAATCTCTTCCCCACGCCTCCATCCATGCAAGTCGTTTTCAGCAAGTAGTGAGGTGGGTGGTACGTGCGTGCCGCAGCGTGGGGTGCCCGAGTTGGTGCGGCCTCCATCAGCACGGGAGGGCAGGGCCCGTGACGATAGTAACTGAAGTAGGGAAAGCTCCGCCTCGGTCGACTGATGAGGAAGTCTGCCCCGGTCGAGGACTCATTGCTCCAAAGTGGGATTTCGTAATAGCCAACCCTCTCACTGAGATGTGGTCTAGCCTGACGGTTTGTGAAGGAGAGGACAATCCATTGTCGAGGTTGAGCCAGCCATGCGGCCAAGGCCAAGGCTGGTCATTTGGTTGAGCTGTTGGCATAGGTTCGTTGTGTACCACCACCATGTTGCACAACCCACTCGCACACTTCACCTCACCCGGCAACCGCAAGCGGGACCAACACTTGGCATCTGCAGACGCTCGCCACCGAGATTCTCCGTCCGTGGCAACCAGGGAAGACAACCTGGCTGTTGGCTCAACGGTGTTATCAGTTTGGAAATGATGACGACGGCGCCGAGCGTCCGATAGGGTCAGATTGGTCGACCTGAACACCGTGGAGTCCTCAATCTCTCATCTGCTCCTCCTCAACGACGGCCTCGTCTGTCACAAGATAAGCTGGCAGTGGAGAGGTAGGTAGGTGGAGGTTGCACACCAATAACCTTATCCGACCGTCTGCTGTGCGCGTTTGTCCTTTCCGTTGGGTCCCGCTGGCGGCCATGGCAAGTGCACCATTGTCGTATTGTCGTGGCGCCCAAATCAGCTGGCCTCTGCGATTCCCAGCCGCGAACTGACCGCCTTCTCGTCACGCCAGCGCGGGCGCAGAGGAGTTGGCCCCTCCATTCACAGCCGTCGTCACGCGGAGCTGTGCTTGCAATTGGGCAAGATACCTAGGTACCTGTACCTAGGCCTATTCGTGCACCACTTATGGCACGGACACGAGAGGACACGTCCATTCCATCCCGTCTGGGCCCGAACGGATGACACCCAGTGCTCGGATGACGTTTCCTAGGCTGGCAGTTGGAACGGTACGGCGGGGACTCTGAAAAAAAAAGGCCGCGCACAAGGCAGGGAAGAAAAACCGAAAAGCAAAGCGTAAAAGAATAAAAATACAAAACAGCGCGTTACACAGTAGCGGTAGGTGGGGCACCGCTGAGGGTCCAATCTTATACGAGTCGGCTCGGCATCGCATCGCAATCGGCCCCAGGAAAAAGGCGCAGGCTCAAGCACGCACGACTGCTGAAGGATCCGAGGCCCTCTCCCATGGATGCTGCTCCTTCACATGTGCCGGCAAGAGAAAGAAGCACGCAAGCCTGGCCTGCTTTTGGTCTCGCGACGACGTCGGGCGATGGGGCAATTAACTCATCCCACTCTTTCCTTCTTCCTGTGCCTGCTCGGCCAAAAAGTCTCTTTTGCCTCCTCGCCTCCCGCGACCGTAGCGCAGCTCTCGGAGCGGCGACCGACCCATTCCTCTGGATACGCAGATGGGGGCACCACATCCTTGGGCTGCGGCAGCGCGTGATTGGAGGAGGGAACGAGCGGGCAGCGCGCTCGATGGCGTTTGATGGACCATGGTGCCACGCCCTGCCCTGAGGACAATGTCACCCCTCCCTCCTCTCGATGCCCCCCTGCCGCTCCACCCGAGTCTCTGCTCTGTGGCCGGGGTTCCTCGCAACCTTCGGCTAACAGGACGAAGGAGCAAGACTTGGTCCCCTTGAAAAAAGAGGGGGCATCCTGGTCCCATGTTTATCTCTTGTCTGGCTCCAGCCAACCCCAAAGAAAGGTTGGCTGATCACCGAGCAAGGCCCTACGGCCAACATTGTGCAATGGAATCAAGAACAATGGCCAGGGATCACGCTAGTCAACGTACTATGTACGAAATTTTCCGGTCGCTCGCCGTTTTGTTCGTCGTCATTGAATCGCACGTCCGTTTTGGGGTCTGTGTGCTGGGCCTGTTTCGTCGGCGGCGTCTACCAGCCACCCAGCCATGCCCGCCAGCCTGCATGTTGGGGTTTGCGTTTGGGTGTGGGTTTTGCCAACGCTTATGGCGTGTGGCACGGCGGTCTGGGCTGCGAGCCGGCTCCGACGTCCAGCACTTGGCCGGTGGTGACAAGTACCTGACCAAGCAGGCAACACGGCAGGGAGGGAGGCCTTTGCGCGGCAACCTGTTGGGTGGCAGTGGGTGGTACGCGGTGCAGTACAGCTGCTACGGGCGGCACAACCAGCTGCCCATCCATCCATGGATCCCACGAGACAGCCTGGCCGGCCGCGCTGAGGGCCTAATTTTCCCATATCCGTCTGCTGTGGGAGTCGGCCCGTGCTCCAGAGGGGGCACACGATCGACTCTCTCGCTCGCCTCTGCGGTCCGCTGAATCCCCAGGATGGAGGAACACACTCCGCCTCTCGGAGCCACACCTCCCCCCCCCCATCTACGGATCGGTATGCCAGACAAGCTCGCGAGGCCAACGCCAGCCCCTGATGGAGCTCTGTTTCCTTCTGTGCCTGGTCCCAAGCGGGACTCCAGGCTGCTGGGTGCACAAGGCTAAAGCAGCTCGTGGAGCTGCTTTGGGGGGGGTTGTCTCACTCGCTCACTGCCCGACAGCGCGAGTGGCCCCTCGGAACGGGCCCGGCACAGCCCTTCGCTTCCACCAAGTTTAATGCCACCCCGTGGGGTTGCAAAACGAGCGAGGCGGCCTGCCAGCTTATTATTCCTGCCTCCGACATGCGTCGAGCCGCCGCACACATCCAATAGCCTGGGCGATGCTGCGGTGTGCCCATTTTCGTATGCGCAGGCCATTCTTCTCAGCTGGGCCTTTGGGGAGCATCGAATCCCTCGGCTAGCTCGTCGCCTCTGTCTGGGTGGACGGGAAACTGGATCTGGAACTGCGACGGCGACTTGCCCAGCGGCTAGCTGCCAGCGTTCGCTCCTACTCGCCCACACCGCACCCGCCCCGACCATCGATATCGCTTGCCCGTCACTCCTCCCTGTTGCGCCTGGTGCTTGGCTCGCCCGCAGGCCCACGCACATCCACCGGCCACCAAGCCCCCTTGCTCACCACGGCACGACACCACCACCCCACTCCCACACCCATGTCGCGCTGACCCCAGGGCCTCGCTTGCAGTTTGCGGAGACATATTACCAGGCTCGTTCCGTCTCGCCGCCGCCTCATGTCAGCTCGTCCAGTCCCCCTCCGTCTCCTCCTCTTCCCAACCAGACCTCCGGCGGAACCCAGTGCTGTGCAGCCGACGTTTCTGTCCACAGTTGCTTGCTCTGGCCAAGGAGCCGCGAGAATGCGCTCCTCCGAACGCTGCCACCCGCCAGCTTATCCGTCCTGCTGCCGCGCCCCACCGAACCACCACAAGTACATGCGCCGGCTGCCGGCCTTGTCGCTAGTGGCGCAAGCACCCGATCCCGAACCTCGACCCTCCGCCGCGACGGCCTCAGCACCGAGCACGTGCTGCTCCCGTTATCCAAATCCCGTTGGCGCATGACTCTCACCAGCCAGGCCGCCTGGTAATACGCCAGCTTTTCTGCACCGGCCAGCCGGGGCCTCCAGGCCGACCACCCGAGGCTGAGGCAACAAATACGGCCCGCGCTCGCGCTAAGCGGCTCCCCGTGCCTGCCGGCAGCCGGCTGAAGCCGTCTCAACCTCTCCCCGCTCGTCCCGCCTGCCGAGGCTCGCGGGCGTGGCACCGGAGGGGGAGACCGCTGCTGTCTTCCCGGCACCCGGCCACACTTTGAGCCAGCCCCGAATACTATGTCTCTGTACTCCGACCCGCCCTCATATCGCGATGTCCACTTCGACAAGCCGACGCTGCTGGTTTGCTGGTGGATCACCATCTTTTCTACCGCCCTCATCCTCATCCGGACGGCCGGCCGGTTTGTGCGGAGCGAGACGCTGTTCGTCGAAGACCGCATCGCAGCCGTCGCCATCGTTCCGCTCTTCGCGCGCATGGCATGTGTCCATGTCGTGCTAGTCTATGGCACCAACAATGCCGACTTCTCCGGCGTTGACCTCACGCCCCAGGAAATCCGAAACAGGGAGATCGCCAGTAGATTGGTGCTCCTGAGCCGGATATTCCATGCCGCAACGTAGGTGCCCGCTGCTTTCCCCTGGAAGGCCGGCTGGTCTCCAAGGAGGCAAGTTCGTCAGCGGATTGTTATGCTAACCCCACTGCTCTGTTGTTGTTGTTGCATCTTAGATTATGGGTCTATAAAGTCGCTATCCTCGAGTACTTTCACCGCTTGACAGGTGTCTCCTGGTCACGTTTTTACAGGGTCGCCCTGATCATGATCCGCTGCCTTCTGGGGCTGACATTCTTGGCCGTCGTGATCAGCGACCTGGCCGAGTGCCGGCCCTTCAGTAACTACTGGCAGGTGCTGTCAGACCCAGGAGGCCAATGCCGACAGGGCTACGCGAACCTGCTCACAATGGGCATCTGCAACATACTCACCGACCTGCTCCTCGTCTTCTTCCCGATCCCGCTCATCCTTCGCAGCGCCATGACCACCAAGCGCAAGTTCCAGCTCGTCTCGCTCTTCTGTCTCAGTCTGGCCGTTGTCGGTACCACCATCTACCGCGTACCTCAGGTCTTCAAGGCCAACGGACGGCAGCAGACCCGGTCCCTGCTGGCATCCATCGAAATCTTGTTCGCTACCGGCGCGTCCAACTCGCTTGTGCTGGGAACCTTTGTGCGGGACAGGGGCACCAAGAAGAGGCGGTTCAAGTACGGTTCCATCATGGAATCGGTCGGCCGCTCCAGCGACTCGCGATCACGACGGCCAACCGTGGTGCGGCATTGGGGCAGCGACGAGGACCTGGTGCGAGATCTGGGCCTGGGCGTGCAGCCAGACCTCCGCGACGTTCCCGAGTCGCCAGGAGGAGGAAGGGCCGGGAACCACCCTTCCTTCTTCCAACCGGCGCCGCTGGTCCGGCCGGTCGGTGATATGGAGGGATGGCAGTTCCCATCGTCGTCGCTGACGATAGACGGCCGGCGGATCAGCGGCGGCACCCGCAGCGACTCGTCGCTCCTAAACGGACGCGACATATACAGTTCACGGAGCAACTCGACGACGACCCCTCGCAAGGTGTCCTTCTTCGATGTCGGCGGCCTGCTGCCGAACGACGACGACGACAGGACCATTACCACCCGCCGCGACAGCATCACTTCGGGTGTGGACCCGCTCCACTCCCCGCGGGCCAGCTCCTTTGTCGCGAGCGGCTCAGGATCCGTGCCGGCGATCGCCATGAACGCGAGCTCGACCGGCACGCGCCGGGGATCGACGCAGCTCCTTCAGGACCTCGGTGTTTTGTTCGGGTCGCTTGGCGGGAGCAGCGGCGGTGCCGCCAGCGGTCCGCAAGCTAGCAGCCGGACGAGGGCGAGGAGCCCGGGCGGCAACAGCCAGCCGCCACCTACGTCCTCGGGGACCGAGCTCGAGCCGATCCCGCAGGAGCCTCGATTCGAGTCGGCATACGCAGAATCACCGAGGCGCAAGAGCCTTGTTCTGAGGGATGCGGGCGGGCTTCTCGGCCCGCCCAGATAATCCTTCCAGCATCATATGCCCATTTTGCCAGGACACCTCGCCGAATCTGTTCACGACAAACTTCCTCACCCGAAACAAATCCAACCACGAGCACATATGGCCATACCACGAAGCGGAGCATTGAGTCACCTGGCCTCTAATGTTGCCATGAGACATGTATAATTTTGACGATGGAACGACGGGTTTGCTTTTTTATCTTCTTTTTTCTTTCTTCCACAAGCAAGCACGCAAGCACCTGCCATTCCCGGCTTAATTTTTTTTAGCCTCGGCTGGACGTATGGGCTTTAGACCGGAGGACCACGTGGATTGGAACGGCGTTGGCGTTATTCTTTATTGCCCTTGCCAGGCTCTCAAGCAGCCGGCTCAGCACGCTCTTCATGATGGGCAGTTCTTGGGTGTGGTTTTGGTCTTAGCGTGGCGGGAATGGCGGCACTAGAGCGGGAGGACACGGGAGACGGGCAGACTAGCTGGACCAGGTCCACGGCCAACGTCAGGGACGCATGTAAAAAAAAAATTTTCTGTCTCTTGCCTGCTTTGTTTCAACCGGCCGATGAGGGTGGTCTACCGGCTGGTTGGTTTCTGCTTTCCGCAGGCGCAGTCGCCGTGCTGCTGTTTCTTGTTCATTGTCACTATATACCCCCTTTTTATCCATCACTTTTTCCCCCGGGTTTGTCTCCCGGTTGCCAGAAGCCTAGCCACACAGTAATCCCGAGAAGCACGTCAACTCCAGCACGACAGTGATCCAGCCAGCGGGCGAGATGTAGGAGGTTGTGCCAGACACGCATGCAGGCCCTTGAAGCGCCCGACATGGACCGAAAACGCTTATTTTCAATAAGGTAGGTACCTGCCAAATGTTTGGATGAGACATTTCCGAAAAGTTTGTTTAGTGATGCCGCAACACAAAAAACAAAAATAAAGCGAGTGCTTGCTCGCCCATGCCACCCCCTGCTTCACTTGACTCCTGCCTGCGCTCGAGATCAAGACCCGGATAAGCCGGAATGGCAGGTACAAAAGAGCGCTAACGAGCGGTGGATTTCCTAACCGGGCAGGGAAATCGGCTGCAGAATGGGGTCGGAGCGGATGGGGATACCTATAGTGCTGGACAGTAGAGCCTACTCCTCCTCTCCTTGACTCACTCTTGAAAACCTCACAAGGGACTAACTCGAACGATGCACATGTGAAAGGCTCCACCGTCGTATCCCCGACTGCTCCTCCCAGGTCGCCGACCACCAACACGATAACTCCTCTTTTCCTTCTTTTTCCTACATCCTTTGCCCGTGCGTAGTTGCCGAAAAAAAAGACACGCCATCGCTCCCCTCCCCTTTTCCCCCACGATTTGGCCCAACGGGTTTCAAGGGTTTGCCCGGGGTCCGGCGCAACGGTTCGAATGTGTGGGGCCCGCCGAGGCGATGGCAATCTTATCCATCAAGGACGGAGGATCCCTTCCCTCCCCCTCTGATCACCAAGCGATGACGGGAGGAGGAGGGACAGAAGGAGAAAACGGTGAGCTGGGATGGGGTAGCAAGGGAGGGGGTGTGCCTCCTTGCCCTGCCTGTGCATGGTTGGCCGAATGGACGGACGGACGGATGGAACGGATTCTAGCATGAACACACCACCGTTTCTGCATGAAAATGTGACCTTGGAAATAGGCAGCAGGTACCCAAGGTACTGTGCATACCTGACATGGATTTGGACCCCTCGATTTACACATCTTGGATGCTGGCAGGATTGAGATTGTCGATAATTACCGTTGATTCCAAATGAAGCCACCTAGCCGAACCTTCCCATCCGGATTGATGAAACGAAAGGCTCCTTGGCCATCGCGAAAAGTTCCATGCATGCTTGTGTGAAGGGAGCGATTCTCCTACCCGGCACCAGCTG